ATTTCATGCATTTCATATATATAGTTTTAAGAACATAATGATACTTCCCACCCTCCTTCCTACTTCCTTTCTTATATTTTTCTTTAAATTTTTGTGATGAAGCAAGGGGGCAGCACTAGCTTTTAATCAGGATGGGTAGGCTCAGAGGGTTCAGGGAAATCTGGGGATTCAAGATATTCGGTGCATGGACACATATACCCTCAACCCAAGTATCAGCACCACAATCTTTCCCAATCAGAGCCCTGACCTTGTTGTAGCAGATTTGCCGGTGTTGAGAATTCAACTTTCTCTGGAGCTCTGCAGGGTTTATAATTAAGTCCAAGGCTTGCTCCCGGCTTCTTTCTGCCTGTGGCTGCAACAGATGAGAGTTGGTTTTTTTATAAACTATCATAGGCCCTCTGGCTTTCACACTTAGCCTTAAATTGCTGATTAATCACTGCAGCCTCTCATTGCCTTTCTCTCTCACTTTATAGCACTTGGCAACAGCCATCCAATTCTACTGTACTCACCATTATCACTTCCCCTGAACCTCTCAAATATCTCAGACACTGGGCCCACCAATGCATCCACTCCCAGCAGTCTTATTTGCAAGACATCAAAGGTCAGCACTCCCAGTAGCTGGGGGAATGGAGGTCTGAGTCCTGGAGGGGAGACCAGGGCTGCACACAACTGCATCCCTATCAAGCTGCATGTGGAGCTGCTGAGTTTGTGGAACTATGGTAAAGAGACCAGTTTTCCTGCCACATCCTAGTTACTAGGAATCCTGAGAGAAGCCCGGGGTTCACGCACATGGTGTGATTATAATTGGTGCTCCCAAAAGAAGTCTAGATGGTGAAAGTAATAAGGTAGTTGTGATTATCTGTATTTAGAAACTGTAAAGTTCAATTTAAAAAAAAAAGGAAAGAAAAAAGAGAAAGGGAAGGGGGAAAGAGAAAAGAGAGAGGGAGAGAGGGTAGAAGGAAGAAAAGAAGGAAAGAGAGAAGAAAGAAGAGAGAGAGAGAGAGAGAGGGAGGATGAAGAAAAATCAAGTCTTTCCAACTCGTTTCAGCAGTCATTTATATTTAACTGAACACAGGTATGAAAGGTTAGTCTACTTCCCTGCCCTTTAAAAATACTTTCTGCTTTTGGGCATGGTAGGAGCAGAAACATGTGAAGTACCATGAGGCTGAATTCACAACAATGGAAAATTTAAAGAAGTCTACTATAATTTTACAATATCTATGAATTTAAGTTGGAGTCAAAGTGCCTACTGATGTATGTGACATGTACAAATACAGATGTTCAAATACATGTAACTTACCACCATCCCTAAAATCAGAAAAAGATTGTGCATGGTGTTGGGGGAAAAATCACTTACAATTATTTTGGGACAGGCATTGTGGCACAGTAGGTTAAACCATCACTTAGGATGTCCACATCCCATATCAGAGTGCATTGTTCTACCTGGCCATTTCACACTTTGATACAGCTTCCTGCTGATGTGCCTGGGAGAGAGCAGATGATGGCCCAAGTACTTGGGTTCCTGACACCCATGTGGGAGACCCAGATGCAGTGGCCTGATCTAGGCTGAGTGGTTACAGATATTTGGGGAGTGAACCAGCAGATGGAAGGTGTGTGGGTGTGGGTGTGTGTTTCTTCCTATATATATTTCAAATAAATATATAAATCTTTAAAAATAAACACAACTGGGGTCAGCACACTGGCGCAGCAAGTCAAACAGCTGCCTGATCCAGCTGTTCCACTTCCAATCCAGCTCCCTGCTAATATGCCTGGGACAGCAACAGATGGTTCAAGTTCTTGGGCCCCTGTTCTCACATGGGAAACCCAGAAGAAGCTCCCGGTTCCTGGCTTCAGCCTGGTCCAGCCCCAGTTGTTGAGGTAATTTGTGGAGTGACCTTTCTCTCTGTAATTCTACCTTTCAAATAAATAAATCTTTAAAATAAATAAACAAGTATAATAATTTTATCTGAGACTGCAAATCATTATAAAATGCATCAGAAACCAAAGTTGAAATTGTTTTTAAAACATTGTATAATACTTATGTAATGTCAAATTCTGACAAATTCTTCAGAAATTTACTTCCAAGTACACATAATCCTCTCATATTGTTCAACATTAATTCATAGCCAGAACTTTTATCTTCAACTTTAGGGTTTATTCTCTATGAAATTCTGTAAGTTGGAGATTTTTAATATGAAACAATCAGTCTGGACTCTAGTTTACAAGGCTTGAAATGCTGCCATCTATCCAATTTCTATCCCTATGAATGTGGGAGGTAATGGATCTTTTTGGTATCCAAGATAGGTCATCTAATTTTATAGTCATTCTTCAGGAAATTAGGCTCCTGGCTAGGTGGATTTTCAACAAGCTAAATATAAACTTTCTATGCATTCATTAGAATATTTATTTATGCTTTTGTGTTCATTTTGGAACACATACACACAACACAAATACACACACACACACACATAACCCATAGGTCTAAATCCCCTTCCCCTCTCACAAATAAATATTTAGAATTTAAATTTCAGGCAACAGTCATAGAAAGTCAAAGGCCATTCTCCAAATCTGGGATCCTGTAAAGTTAGTTGAGAAGCAAAATACAGAGATGTCTCTGTCCTAGGACGTCTGCTTCTTGCTCACAGTCATGATGACAACATGAAATAGCATGGAGCACAATCCCTAGCTTGGTGCTGATGCACTAGCACTTGACAAGGTCATAATCCCATACCTACAGTCCCAAAAACCCAGAGCTCAGAATACTCAGAAGACTTTTTTTTTGTACATCTTTTTGGCCTCAAATACTGGCCTGGACAAGGTGCTGTTTGTAGGCCAAGGTGTGAGTGGAATGTGTTTGATTTCCAAGTGTTCCTCCAAGGTACTGCAGACATTTAACATTATTTGCAGTGTATGTAACAGATTAAACTTCTAAAACACACATCTACGAATCTCTAAAAACATCTAGTTTGGGAGGGCAGTTCTGGATTTGTCCTTGCTGATTCCTCTCTTTCCTTCCCTTTTGGCTGGTCCTATCCTCTCCTATTCTTCCCATGGCCATCATTAACCAACTTGAAGTAAATGCATAGACGCTACCCTTGGTCAGACATCCTCTGTACATCAGCACCTGGTTGGCATCTTGTCACATATTTTGAAGGAATGCCACAGTGATTCTGCAAGGGATTGGGAATGAGCTCTATTTTAAAGATGAGCAAACTGAAACAGAGAGAAATGAACTAACTTAGTGAAGGTCAAGAACTCCCAAGTGCAAAACCAGGCTTGCATCCCAGTGTCTGCAGAGACTACTCACAGCAGGCTGGGACTTTCCTGAAGAGACACTGTTTCTTAAGGAGCACTTAATATTCAGTCAAATATAATGTGTACTGAGAGGAGGTAAAGTGTCATGTAGTCATCCTCAGTGGGTGGCTAAGGGATTCTGGGCATCCCTGAGATCCTTTTAAGAGGACTGCAAAGCCAAGGCTATTTTCTTAGTAACATTAAAACATCACTGGCCCTTTCATCCTCATCCTCCCAGTAGGTAACAGTGGAGTTTTCAGGCCTCATGTAATGTGTTTTATATTACTCACTGAATGCAGAATCAGATATGGCAATCCAGCTGTCTTTTGTTAAACTGGACCTTAACAAATGTTTGCTATGGTTTGAATGTGTCACCCCAAAGTTCATGAGTTGAAAACTTGCTCTCCAAAGAGTTGAGAGGTGAGACCTTTGAGAGGCAATTAGATCATGACAGCTCTGCCCTCATAAGTGGATTAACGACACTACTATGGGAGCGAGTTTGTTATCACAAGAATAGGTTTGTTACAAAAGTTAAGTCTGGCCTGATCCCGCTCTCCCTCACTCTGGTCTGCCT